AGTAAATTAATTTGTCAAAATTGGAGATTTATGGAATAGAATTCTATGCTTGATTTGGTGATTAATTTTTGAATATATGAGACCTTATTTATGATGAATGCATTATAATGATGATTTGGGATACATGTGGGATTGACTCTTTATTCTATCTTTGGTAATGGTAAAGAGGGTTGTTCTAAGGAGCTCCGGCTTCAAAAAATATCCCGATGGTCAACTTCGTGTTTAATGGGCATTTGACCGAATATGTTGTTGAACCCCCATCAAGTTTTGGATGCAAAATAGCTCTGGATATGTGATAGATCTAAAGATGTGATGGTCATAAATGGATACTGAATATGATGGTAAGGAAATTCTTTGATATTTATTCTTATATTTCTAAGAGCCATTTTTAGTTAAATTAATTTGGAATATCTATGATTTTGATGCATGGACTTATGTGCTTGTTTGGTGACTAGTTGCTTAAATATAATTATGTAAGGTATGACACATGATAGTTGCCATTTGATTATGATGCATGAACTTCTACAAGATTGATGTTGTTTATGTAAATGTGAGATATGGTATTATTAAACATAAAGGTTTGATGCATAAGTCTCTACGGTGATTGATAATCATTTAGCCATAGAAATATTGAGCATAATGCATGAAAACATGATAATTGGTAAATCGCATTCATGTTTGGCCCTTCGCTTTACCTTGGTAATGGCGAAGAGAGTTATTCTAATGGGCCTTGACTCAAGACAATGACCCAAAGGTCAAGTTTGGGTAAAATGGGCCTTTAGGCCGAATACGTGAAATTAACCTTCAGGCTGGATATGAGCCTTCAGGCCAGATATGAGCCTTCGGCCCAGATAAGTTGCAGAATCCTTATTAGGTTTGGAAATGGTTACATTGAACATGTAATATGCATACGAAAAGAATATAAAATTTGTTGTGAACATGGAATAAATAAGTGAAAGAATAGAAAATCTATTTGTTTCTTATCTCTAAGGGATTTTTGTTTCTCCCTCATTTGAATAAATAATGGTGAACCACTCATTGTGATGATCGACGTTCCCTCTAATGAGAGTGGATATGCGTTAGGTACATATAGGGCCACAGTGGTGAAGAACGGTTGTGGTCATAGTTTAGATAGAAAAACGATAATGGCCCAAGAATGGGTCGGTGATTCATAGTGGTAGTCGGGGATCCCTTTTGCCTTCAGTGGATATATGTTGTAACGACTTCACACGAAGGTTGGTAAAAGACTTAATAAAAAATACATATGGTTAAAGATATTATTTAAAACTCTATGATGATTTGTATGATGGTTCTTCTGTTTATTAAGTATGCTGCTCGTACTAGTTAAATCTCTATGATGATTTGTACGATGGTTCTTCTGTTTACTGAGTATGCTACTTGTATTTGTTGAAGCTCTATAATTATTTATATGATGGTTCTTGTATTTACTGAGTATATTGTTTGTTTGATTTCTACTGGATATTTGATATGTTCGGGTATGTCGAATATGATACAATATGCTTGGTTAGACATTGAATAATGATGCTCTTAGCTTGGTTATGCAATTATTTCACCTGATTTCGTAATTGTCCTTCATCTAAAAAACAGAGGACAACCACTGCTTAGTGGCATTGATCATCTCCATGTTGTTTCCAACTAATAGTATGTTATCAACGTATAAGAAGAGAAACATAACCCCTCCCATTGTTTTCTTGACATACACACAATGTTCTTCATGTACCCTAGACAAGCCACACGAAGTAATGGCTTCATGGAATTTAAAATACCATTTTCTGGAAGACTGCTTGAGACCATATATGGATCTTTCAAGATGACAAACTTAGTTTTCTTGACCTTTTGAGACAAATCCAATAGGTTGATCCATATATATTTCTTCCTCAAGTGACCATTGAGTAAAACAGTTTTAACATCCGTTTAAAATAATTCGAAGTCCAAATGGGCAATTAGGGCTAGAAGGAGGTGAATAGAGGCAAATCTCACCATAGGAGAAAAAGTCTCTTCATAGTCTATACCCTCAATT